GGGAAATGTAAAGTCGCTCTTTCCAAAGTGTCAAAGTACGTACATTAAACTGTGCAAATAAAGTCAGAAGTCACACTGTGCCATTCGCCCAATTCCCTTAGACCAACACTCCCCAACCCAATTCACATAAGCTAAAACTTATTATTAACTCCAGTCACATCTGTACAGTGGCTGTTAAATAGGGGAGCTGTGGAATACACAAGCCTGCAGAAGCACACCTAAGCAGACTTTTAACCTCCCCTCTTCCCACACACAAAGCCTCAGGTAGGCAAAGATGGTTTTGCGACCACCAGAAAACAGACCCCCCCCCCCCTTCCAGCTCTGGTGCCTTCTTACCTGGAACGTTATACCAGTGAGCTCCATTTGTGATACCATGAGGGAAGTATTCATCAGGATACATTTCTACACATGGGTGACCCTGGAACATCTGTGCGTTTTCCTGAAAAGGACAATCACTGGTGAAACAGGGGCTTCCTGGAATGATACCATCATCACCCACCTGCCTTTCACAGGAAGCAGCCATTCTTATGCCTCTCAAATCAACTACATTTCTTTCATTCCATCTTCTCAAACTTCTTGCTTTGATTTTGTATACACAACCTAATTATCAACGTTTAAAGACTGAGGAAAACATACTGCTATTTTGAGTTTACTAGGAAACAAGCTGCTGTGCATTTTCATTAGAACTCCCCAAGGAGAAAATGCAGTGACATTTATACCTACAAGAATCTCTTCCCAGACTTCCTTACACCATTGATCTAAAACATTTTAGAATCACTTAACAAGAAGCATCACACAGCATGAAACGTTACCTTGGCGTAGGAAAGAGCAATTTGTTGAAACAGGGAATCATCTGGGGATTTACTGTACGTGGCAGTGCCACGTTGGTCATCATCATAGGGGTAATTAACAACTAGAGACCCTGCAAAGAAAAACAAGAGATTCACCTTGGAGAGCTTTCTCTTCAGAGGAATAGATAGTCCTAGCACCAAAGAAAACCTTCTTGCCAACATACTTCTATTTTTCTACAGCCAAGAATTAGCCAAACTAAATGAGGTATACACAGGTGACAAATGAACTATGGAGCAACAGTCAACCCACCTGCTGGAATGCTTTTGCTCTAAAGAGAAGCAAGTGAGAACCTGTGTATAAATTGCTTCACCTTTAACAGGAGGGAAAATATTTATTTACTTTTATATCTCGCCTTTATGTGGGGACCCAAAGTTCTCCTTTCCTCCCTTTTATCAATCCTGAGGGGTGGGTTAGGCTGCGTGTGTGTGACTGGCCCAAAGTCACCCAAGCAAGCTTCCATGGCAGAGTGGAGATTTGAACCTGGGTTTCCCAGATACTAGTCCAACATTCTAATCTCTACCCCACACTAGCTCTGGAAAATACTGTCGTAACAGAGCACATAGACAACTCAAGACAGGGGTGTGTGGACTTTGAAAGCAATGTGTGGATTTGACACTGTTCAGGAAGATTTGTTGTCACTGAAGGTTGTATTTTACAACCGCCTTCTATCAGCATACTGAGCTGGTTAAATGCTACAATAAGGAGTTCTTCTTTGAGACGGAGGTGACCTCATGTCACAGCCCTAGCAGTCAATCACTGGTAACTCCCTCTAGGATTTTTATATTTATAAAGTCTTTCAGAAGGCCTCAAAAACAGAGAACGCACATAAGTAAATGCAGGAAGTCTGCATAATGTTCCATTAAACTACTCACAGAATGTCCTCCCTGTGACATTTCTCAGACATTTCCAGCCAATTCAACATTCTCTTACAGTGACTCCTGGGGTCAGAAAGAAAGCACCGCTTCCACAAAAAATGTATCCAGATTCAGTTTAGCTCTACAGCACCTTATTTAACCTTTCCCTCTAGGGTACAGCAGAGAGATCCCAGTGCAATTCAGCCTCTACAAAAAGAGGGCCCACAAGTTTTCCGTTCAGGTTGGTCTTCATTCTCTTACCTCCGTGCAAGTTTGCAGACAGCACAAAAGGATAGGTCTTCAGCCAATTCATGACAGCCATCGTCTCTGGCTGTAGAGGGTCTGAAATCTGAAAAAACTGATCTGGAAAATTCCTATTTAGGTCATAATTGTTGCTGTTATTCCTGCCAAGAGTACCTTCTCTGTCTCCTGAGAAATGAAAGAGAACTTGTTGAGATGACACTTTCTTGGTTTCAAGGCAACATAAGCACCCCTAGAATAATTTGCACTCACAAGGAAATGTAAAAAAAACTGTAGGCATTACTGTTGAAATATTCCTATCCCATGCCTTCTCTGTTCAAAAGACTCAGGAGCCATTAAGAGGAAAACTCAAACTGGTTTTTCAAAACACTCTGCCCATGTCAGCAGCTTTGTAAGCTCTACAGAGGCCTGCCTACTTGTGCAAGCAACTGCAGACTTTTTCCCATACTGCACTCCTTCCAACATCACTCCTGAAACGTATCTGGGGATCAGTCTTTCACCAGAAAAACAGGATTTGGTTTGCAGTCAAATAAATCAAAGAGCTGCTTTGTTAGGCCAGCAAGACCTATCTGACTGCAAATTTCAGCCTACAGTCATGCATACAGTTCAGGGAACTCTACAGCAGGAAGTCAACTTGCTCAGAAAAGTCTGTTCCTTTCCCCAGGGAATGGTGTGATCCACTGCCCTTTAACAGGTACCTCCCACTTCTGGAGTTCAGTACATGTTTAGCCACCTAATGAACTTCCAAAGACTTTGTAAGCACCAATACCTTCTTGAGATTTCTCATAGCCATCAGGGTTCATGGAGGGCATGATGTGGATTCGAGTCTTTTGAACCAAGTCTGTTACTTCAGGATCAGTCCCATAGTTCTTGCAGAGATACTCAATGAGATTAAGGAGCAGCTCTCGGCCCACCACCTCATTGCCGTGCATGTTCCCAATGTACTTGAATTCTGGTTCACCTGGTAGGGGAACATAAAGAGCCCTTTCAGTCCTGCTAGATCAGACCAGAGGACCATTAGCAGCAGCATTCTGTTTCCCATCATAAGAACATAAGAGAAGCCAATGTTGGATCAGGCCAATGGCCCATTTAGTCCAACACTCTGTCACACAGTGACCAAAAATACCAGGTGCCATCAGCAGGTTCAGGACAATAGAAGCCCTCCCACTCTTGCCTCCCCACCCCAAGCACCAAGAATATAGAGCATCGCTTGCCCCAGCCCGAGACTTTCTATCTATACCTTGTGGCTAATAGCCACTGATGGACTTTCTGCTCCATATGCTTATCTAATTCCCTCTTGAAGCTGTCCATGCTTGTAGCCGCCGCCACCTCCTGTGGCAGTGAATTCCATGTGCTAATCATGATCAGCCAGTTTTTGTTTTATCTACAACATTTATATATCCCACTTTTCAATATTATCATAGAAGCTTACAACATATTATTCAACACACAAATAAAACTAAGAAATGCCCCAAGCAAGTACAGTAACAAACATCTTCGTTTCCAAAAACTGTCAAGCAGAAGGGAGGCTGGCTCAGAGCAGAAAGTGGGCCAGATGTACTTTTGCCTCCATCCTCCCCCCCATTTCTGCTGGACAATTGCGGGAGGGGGAGCTTGGAGCATAAAACATGTCCTGCATGCTTTCTCTATCAAGCCCAGCTCCCACTAGCCAGCTGATCAGCAATCTGGGCTTGAAACAAAAAGCACATACTTTCCTCTCCAAGGTTCCTTCAGCCTGATTGCCATTGAGTTCTCACAACGAGAACTCATTTGACACCTTCTTGCTTGAGTTGCAGCACTTGTGCTTGCATAGGTACTACTTCGCCCTGGGACAGTCTTGCTTTCTTGTACCTGGAACCAGCGCATCAGTTTTTTAAACCACACTCTGGAGCCATGTTGAGAATTGCATATATAGATATTGCCTCTAAATACACAGGTTTACTTTACTTTGGCCCCGGTCGCACGGGCCAGATAACGCGGGGGGGAGGCGTGGCTAATTGCTCCAGTGCAATTAGAGCCGCCAGAATGCGATCCGACACGTCAGCGGCAAACCACGGGTCCTGTCCTCCCCGCCTGCGCATTAACGAGGGGCCGGCGTGATCACACCGCAGAAGTCCGGAGGCAGCCCATGGCAAACCATTTGCCACTACATACGAGGTACTGTTTTTTTATTGCGCTTTTTCGGTGGTATGCCACGGGTTGGCCATGGGTGCGCTCCACTTGCCAGATGTTGCGGTGTGATCCCGCCCCGATAATCCGCCCACCACCCATGGCTCTCCCGTGGCAAATTCGCCGTGTGACCGGGACCCTACTGTGGCTAATCGCCATTGATAAAAACATGAAAGAGAAGTCTGATTCCTTTTAAAAGCCATCTAAGACAATGATACTCACTGCATCTTAATGGGCACTGAATTCCATACGTTAATTACATGTTATGTTACTAAGTGTTTATTACATGTTATGTTCCATAAGTTAATTACATGTTATGTTTTTAACCATAATGAATGTACCGCCAACAAATTTCAGAAGGTGCCCATTAGTTCCAGTATTACAAGAAAGGGAAGGGAAAAAATTAACCACTTTCTCCACATAATTTTATAAATCTTTACCATGGCCCACCACAATCATCCTCCTTCTAAACAAACCCCCATATGGTTTAGACTTGTCTCTTAAGAAAATTAAAGCGGATCAAACTTTAGTTTAAGTGCTAACAACAGTTTAAGTGCTAACTACCCCAAGAGTGAAGATGTGAAGGCCCAGAAAAAACCCAGATATTTTAAATGACTTTCCCCCCAATTTTTCCACTGGAAATTTGAGAAATTTGGGGGTACACTGAAAACACTTCTATAATTTTTCCCTGCTGCTATGAAATAAAAGATGAGATTTTACTCAAAATGTGTAGCATGAAAAATTTTATGTAAGACAATCTACAGTATTACATAATGATAATTCCTATACATACTGCAAACAAATATTTTAAAGATTTTTTGTTTAAATAAATTCGGCAGCTATTAATATGCTATAATGTGCTTAATGATAATATATTATTAAATAGTTCAGTGTTTTCAATATTGTAAAGTTTAATACCCAAATATGCTTGTATCTCCACCTACTGTGACTGTAGTCAAGTGTTTCTGTCCTAATAATAGTTACTTTTGTTTACTACAAAATTGAGTTTCAACTTTTATTTTGCATAACTCTCAAATAGTAAAAATTAAAATACATGTACTACGGTAGCATAGTATGCAGCAGTTTGCAACGCCTTCTCAGATATTGGGTATACATGCATTTTTCTTACAGAAAATTAAGCCATTTATACCTTTAAACCCCACAAAGATCATAGTGCCATTTATATATTAACTAATTTCTAAATGATTCATTTTAAGTTGTTCTATCAATAAACTAAATTTAGGTTTGATAGGAAAGTATTGCATATATTTCAATCTTTTCCAAAGTTCTAGGGCTTTTAGGGGGGAGCAAAAAAAGGGGGGAATGTGTGTTTTTCCTGTGGCTTCAAGATTTTACATATTTACCTGAGAGACATGAATCCTATTAGTGGCCCTTTCCAAACACAAGTAGCCTCTTGATCCACTTTACATATTGAAATAGCAGCTCAGACAGAAGGGTAATGTGGGCGTCATTGGGTTCAAGGAACCTACACCTCGCATGTACACGCAAGAGGAATTAAGAACAGAAACCCAAGGAGCGCTTCTCAAGGCAGTAAAAGAATCCATTTCATACATCTATGTGCCAGCCGAACAAATGGTTAACACATTTCCATCTGAGCTTTCTTATGCACAAGGTTTTGTTGTTGTAGCTGTTTTTTTACAAGAGAAGGGGAGAACAGTTAAAGAGGAAAACCTCAAACTGATGGCCTGAAGGAAAATTTATTATATGGTTTGAATGTACCACCTCATTCATTTCTACAAAATATCACAATCAGGGCAACAATTGCTCTCTTTAAATATTTGAAAGGCTGTCATTTGGAGGAGGGCAAGGAGCTGTTCCAGTTGGCAGCAGAGGATAGGACCCGAAGCAATGGGTTTAAATTACATGCAAAAAGGTATCGGCTGGATATTAGGAAAAACTTTTTCACGGTCAGAGTGGTTCAAAGGTGGAATCAGCTGCCTGGGGAGGTGGTTAGCTCCCCTTCACTGGCAGCTTTCAAGAAGAGGCAGGATGAATATTTGTCAGAGATGCTTTAGGCTGGTCCTAGCCGGGGGCTGGACTAGATGGTCTGTATGGCTCTATAATTCTAATAAACAGCAACAAACACAGAATAAGCTGAACATAATAACATCACCATCATCTTTCAATTTAAAAAGAGAAAAAGAGATAATACAGTGTGGAAGGGAAGGCAGCAGGTAGTGGTGGTGTGAGGAGGAAGAAGCTGGGACCTGGTGAATGCCACAAACTTCCTCTCCCATGAATTGCTTACAGGTCCTCCACCTGTCTACCAGTGAGAACAATATGGGCATTTATCTCCACATTTTGCTGTGCTTCATGAAAAGTGGCGGCTAAATATTTAGGGATGCTGCTAGCAGGAAGATGAAGCAGCCCTGAGAACAAGGCTTGGGCCAATTCTGATTATATTGTATTCAAAATGAAAAATTGTGCAACACCTTTCCATTTACTTTCAGATGAAAACTGGAGCCTCTGCTCTATCTTGCCAACTTTTTGTGTTTGCCATTGGTGCTCTTTTGCTTGTACCCTGGAAGGAACATCCCCCACTAAGGACACTGGTACACTTTTTGCTCTGAGTTAACTACGCCGTCTGAATAGATCTAGGATGGTTAAATGAGTTACCCAATTCATGGATTCCTGGGTTGTCCGATATCTCCATCACATACAGCTCCCTCTGCTCCACCGACTTGCCTGCTGAGTAGAGGCGGGTGATGCTTGGGTACTCATTGGCATACTTCCTCAGGAAAATTTCCATGTCTGGGAAGTGATGATGACGGAAGTCCTTTGGCTGGATCGCTTGGTGGGCAGGGGTTGGCCTTTCTGTACTGGTCACATTGGTAGCATTGGGAGCAGAGTCGGTGGCAGTTACTGGTGTATCCTGGGTAGGATCAGAGATCGGCACTGCTACTGTAGGCTCCAAGGAGAAGTCCACCACAGTTGCATTCCCTTCCTTCACCTCCACATTTACCATGGTGACCAGCAGGTAACTACAAAAGAAAGGTATTAAGTTCTTGCCTTCAGGTTGAAATTCTTTCACCCAGACCTGGCCCGGGAGAAAGTCCCATAAGGATTAACTAAATTCCACCACCTTAGCTAAGAATAACAATAGTACTTAATACGCATCTAATCCTTCCCCTTTCTTGCTGCTGTACTGCCTCTTGTTCTGCTCCTTAATGTAAAGAATATGAGCAAACAGCAGGACCCAGCAGGCTCATGGCAAACATGGGGCAAGAACTGACAACACTGTCTAAGGATTTCAGCACCAGGCTCAAAAGGAACCCTTGCCAACAACAGCCCAGGCCCACACAAGTTTCAGAGACATTACCCCACAGCAGCCGCTGTGATGTTGTAGGTTCTGGGAACCAGCAATCTGTGATAATCACCGAAACGACCAGTAGTGATGTTATGAGCAATCCCAGCCACGGAAATAGTTGCATTTTCCAAGCCAGCCTGAGTGACCGAATCCCGGACAAACCCTTTGATCCCAATGTGGACCTGGACAGAATGACATGACGCGAAACAGATACGAAGGTATGAATAATGAAATAATTCTTCCTGTCACTGTGGCTGTGTAGTTTTTCACTAAAATAAGCAGCTTTTTATTTCAAACTAACCATCCTTTACCCAACAGTCTACCCTGGCCACAGATAAATAGGACGCTATTAAACAGACAGGAAAATAGTTCTATTTACAGAAGTCCAGCAACAAAAAACGTAACAAGACTGCACCCATAACCAAACTACTAATACATAGAAAGGCCTGGACCAGAGACAGCCCTAATAGAGTGGCAGAAATCTGTTTGTGTATCATGTGTATCATGTGACAGTATGTGTATGTTTGTGTATCATGTGACAGTACACCTATGGTTCCCTGAAGTCCATAAAGTTCGGTAGAACCGCAGACAGAACTGTCTAAAACATGAGATGCTGCCGTAGACTAGGCAAGTCTGCCTGAACCTTTCTTTTTTTTTCCTGCAGGAGACCCAACAAACTGAATCTGTCTCATGCTGCCACAGCACCATAACACAACAGAGGCTGCCATTCATTCTGCAACAGAACAAAGGCAATGCAGGAGGTCTGCAGAGCAAGAGAGGACCACAGCCAGGCACTTTGTCATACTTGTAAAAGGGACAACCACAGGCCCGTGAGACTGAGAGGCCAGGGCTTCCTCTCTTCTGTCCCAGAGGCCCCCGGGCACTGCAGAGAGAAGGAATAATGGCTTTCTTCAGCACAGAAAGAGGATTCTATGATATCATTCCTCTGACCTTCCTGAATAATGAGATACTTTTCTAAACGTGAAGAGCACGTGAACAATGTAGAAGAGAGGTACTCTTGAAAGCCAGGGTAGTGCAGCAATGCCAGATGAGAACACTGGCAATCTGATCTGCCTGTGACATTTCCTGGGATGGTTTGCTGTTCTTTTCCCCCTCATCATTCCACCTTACAAGTGCAGAAACAAAGACTTACTTTTTCAATAAAGGTGAGAAGAGATTCCCGGTTATTCTCCCACTCCAGCTCAAGCTGCGATGCTGGGGGGTATTTGCAGCAGGAAAGCTCGAAGGTGACTTCAAAGCAGTTGGCCCACACATAGTTATAATCCTGCATGCCACCTAAGGAATTCAAAATGCAAGAAACATGAAGTAATCTTGCTAAGTGTCGCCAGTTAGGTGCCTCTGTATCAGCAGAATCTCTCCCCATCATTTCAGATTAGTGGCTCTTTCAGCAGACTGGGCAAGCTCCTGTGTTCAGGCTGAAGAAGGGGAGGAAATTAAGACAGCCAGAAAGACAATTGTCTCTGGGTACTCCTGCAATGCCTTTGAGGGGGATCAATGCAGGATGGAATTACACATCTTTTAAGACAAAAATAATAATAATTCAGAAAGAGACCAACTCCCTATAACACAGTCAGAATTTTAAACATTTCCTACTTGGCATCTCCAGCTAAAAGGGGTGCTTTTACATGATGATGAGCCCAAGGGGCCTAGCATAGCCTGGACAGCGGCAATAAATTCCATTAGTGTCCGTGAGCCAAAACAGTTGTGTCTGAAATGACACAAATAATCCATTCACAACTGGCAGCTAAAATGGATTACGGAGGCTGCTTGAAAGGGGCTTTAGTTTAAGTTCTGCTTCAGCTTGTTACAGCATGTTAAACAAAGAAGGCAAATATACCATGGACAAGTCTAGCCCAGATCCAGAAGCCAACTGCACTGTACACAGGGAGGGGCTGTTATACCATATTATTCTGTTCTTCACAGTCAACTGAACTGAGTGAGCACTGGGGGGTTTTCAGTGCTTCATAGCCTACATTTAGCCTATCTAACAGGATGGATTTGCACCACAACAGCCCTGACAACTATATGCTCATTATAACAAGTACACTGTTCCTATTTTACTTAAAACTGTATGCTGCTTTACTCTGCCACATGCAGACTCATGCCCCTATCCACCAGGGGCACCTTGACTGCCTTCCCACTCTGAATATTGTCCCTCTAATCCTTCCCTCTCAGCAGCCCTGTTCAAAGCTCATTCTTATTAGATAAAAGCAGGAAGCAGGGACCCGTGATACTGGGGGGGG